GATAATAATTGATACGTGGGTGGGGGTGTGTTTCCAGTGGTCTGTGATGTTCCAACTTTAGTCAGGAAGCGCGTGTGTGTGCTGGTGGTGGTGTTTCCTGCCTCTAATTGATATACGGAAGGTAGCCGGTTTAGTGCTCTTTTTTTTTTTTCTCTGTTCGCGCGCTGAGGGAGACTGAGATTAATAGCTGTCAAACGACAGTTTAAGCAGCCCTGCACACTATACACTAACGATCACGATCACGATCACCCTCAACGAAAAGTGGCGAGTGACTAGCACGACAACCCCTTGAGTAAACAGAGCCTTCCAACACTGCATTCACCTACTGTACGTCATGCACCACTCTCCACTACACTTCCACTTACTTCCAAACATCTCTTTCTTCTCCCCCTTTGGTCATTTAATGACTCTTGGTTTCGCTCCGCTTCCTTCAGTTTCCACGCGGTACTTTTTTTCGGCCTGCCTATAACTGCGCGCAACCTGACAGTGGCCCACCCAAAATTCACTCTCGCACCCATTATTTGTCCCCGGGTATTTTGACAACCACCTAAGCAAAAATACCAATGTTGACACGGGGCTTGCGGATACTGAGCCAGTGTTTGAAGCGACCGACTGGGTTTACAACTACCTACGTCGGTCACAAGTTCCCCATGGCGTCGGTGCGCCAGTTCTCACGGACGATGCCGGTGGCGTCGCTGGCAGTAAGACAGTTGCAACAGCTTGAAGAGACCGCCAACCGTGACCCGCAAAACCCTGGCTACCAGGCCGAGTTCTACCGCCAATTATTGGCTAACAACTACCCCCAGATCGTCGTCCAGCGGTTCGAGTCGCCGGGGGTGGCGTCGCTGCCGGAATGTACCGGGTTGTATATCGACGCGTTGCGCAAGATGGGCAAGCAGCAGAAGGCCGACCACGTCGCGGCGCTGATGGCGTACCCTCAGGGGGCGGCCCAGGGGATGCCCCAAGGGTTCGGCTCGAAATACGAACCGGTACACGTGGTGGTGCTGGAACTGTTTGGCACCATTTTGCTGAAATGGCTCAAATGGTTGATCCCCGTGGCCCTTTTGGCCTACGGAGCCAACCAAGCGTTTAACTATTTTGTTGAAAACGGTACCATTTTCAAGAACTCTGATGTCACGGAAAAGACTGTCGATGTGTCTCAGCTGACGGTGCGCTTTTCTGACGTCCAAGGGTGCGATGAAGCTCGTGCGGAATTGGAAGAGATCGTGGACTTTTTGAAAGACCCCTCGAAGTTTACTGGTCTTGGCGGTAAGTTGCCTAAAGGTGTGCTTTTAACTGGTCCCCCCGGTACCGGTAAGACTCTCTTGGCTCGTGCCACCGCTGGTGAAGCTGGTGTCCCTTTCTTCTTTATGTCCGGTTCAGAATTTGATGAATTATACGTCGGTGTGGGTGCTAAACGTATCAGAGAACTCTTTGGTGCCGCCAGAGAAAAGCTGCCGGCGATCATTTTCATTGACGAATTGGATGCTATTGGCGGTAAGCGTAACCCTAAGGACCAAGCTTACGCTAAACAAACGTTGAACCAGTTATTGGTTGAACTCGACGGGTTCTCGCAATCGCAAGGGATCATCATTATCGGCGCCACCAACTTCCCCGAATCGCTCGACAAGGCGTTAACTCGTCCCGGTCGGTTCGATAAGGAAGTGATTGTTGATTTGCCTGATGTTCGTGGTCGCGTGGATATCTTAAAGCACCACATGAAGAACGTGGAAACCTCCGACGATGTCGATGCCCTGGTGATTGCCCGTGGTACTCCTGGTCTCTCCGGTGCCGAATTGATGAACTTGGTTAACCAGGCCGCCGTCCACGCGTCGCAATTGTCGGCTCCTGCCGTCAATATGGACCATTTCGAATGGGCTAAGGATAAGATCTTGATGGGCGCCGCCAAGAAGAAGATGGTGATCACCGAAGAACTGCGCATCAACACCGCCTACCACGAAGCCGGCCACGCCATCATGGCGATGTTCTCTCCCGGCGCCACTCCGTTATATAAAGCCACCATTTTGCCTCGTGGCCGTGCCTTGGGGATTACCTTCCAACTCCCGGAAATGGACAAGCACGACATGCTGAAGAAGGAATGCTTTGCTCGTCTTGACGTGTGTATGGGGGGTAAGATCGCCGAGGAAATGATCAACGGCGCCGAGAACGTCACCCTGGGGTGCTCGCTGGACCTTTCCAACGCCACCCTGGTGGCACGGGCGATGGTGACGTCGTACGGGATGTCGGACAAAATCGGTCCCATCAAGCTCTCGGACAACTGGGAGCTGTGGTCGCCTAAACTTAGAGACTTGGCCGACCAGGAAGTCAGACTGTACTTGATTGGCCTGGAAAACCGTACCCGCGAGTTGTTGCACGACAAGCGGGTCGAGCTTAAACGGTTGGCGGAGGGTTTGTTGGAGTACGAGACGTTGACCCGAGAAGAAATGGAGAAGATCGTGCGGGGCGATACCATCAGCAAGGAGAAGATCCAGCTGAACACGGTGGTGAAGCTGAAGAACGCCGTGCCCCCGAAGGACATCATCAACGAGCCGGCGCCCGTGCCCCAGCCGTCGTCTTAACACTGCATTATGCCATGGCGTTACGAAATATATAGCACAAAAAATCTATGTACAAAATCGATAGACAAAGAAAGGAAGTATTACAATCTTTACATGTTTACAATTTAAGCCAATTATAGTATTCAAATCCCATTGAAGCAGTCTACTCATAAGGAGTTTATCGGCTCAATTTGACACCGACGGTAAGCCCCGTTTTGGTGAAGAATTTTGTGTTACTGGTCGCGATGCGTTGTTGGGAAAGCCAGAAGAGAACAATTGGCACGCACGGCGCTAGCCAACAATTTGGGAAGAACCTAGAAGAATATGACTAAACAAACAGGTGATAGTGTGTACGGATCAATGACTTGTGGTTTGTAGCTAGCAGTCAACGAATACTCATCTTGGTGTATATGTTTGACTAAGCCTCTTTGATCTCCTGAGACGACGGGTGACGGGTAACGGTACGTCTAAGCCCTGCTAACGCCACTCCCACCCCCGTGTCCATTTCCTGACAACAACAACAACAGCATATAACGGTAGATTACTGGAAATATGATCCCGTGGCATTCGCCGTTCAAACGTCAACCCAGAGTGCCGTGGACGCTTACATGTGTCAATTTTTGTAACCGACCCAGCTAATTAATACGGGCCAATATTCGGCTGACTCTGGTGCTTCATGCTGGGGCCTACTCCCCTCCCTGTCTATGGCGTACCTCGACGCACTCAAAATCAGACAGAAACTCCCAATACAGGGAGAGATCAGTAGATATTCTCTTAGTGACTGAAACATTAGTTTAATCGTATAATCAGTAAGCGATCACATGCAGCGTATCGCCTAGGGTCCAGTGGTCCGCCCGCAATCTCGGAATTGTCAATCATGGACTAAGGCGCGGCGTAGCGGGCCAGGAAAGCGTCTAAGCACATACTGCACCGCCAGATGACGTCAACCACCACCCGGTGTCGACTCCGTCCAAATAATTTACTCTACCGAACCAAAAACCACCCACGGGTACAAAGTTACACCGAGTGAGCGGTAGGGCTGCAATACCAATGATCTGCCACCTCCATTGACTAAGCAGCATCACCTGGACATTACCGTAGAGCTGGTAGCCTACTGGCGCGGTATCACCACCACGGGCTCGTCTCCGGGGTTCCTAGACAACCCGGGGTTTAGCAAGCGACAGCATGAAGGATACGACCCGCGGAAACAGATCATAGAGCACGCCACCAAATACTATAAATCTTGTCTACCTGATGTTATGTGTTTCACGTCTTTCCTAGACCAATTTAAATATGAATAGAATCGGTGTCATTTGTGTACTGGTTGTCCATGTGATTGTGGCAATTACCAGGACAACCCCTCATCCGTGGCCGACGCTCCACCCGATTCCTTCCGCTCGATACCAGCAAAAGTGCCTAGCTGCCCTTTCGGCTGGCCGTAGCCGACAGCGGTCCTGTATTTGACAACGGCCTCACGCCGACGTGTCTTTGTTCTCATTGGCACACACTGTAGCACGGTTTTTTTTTTTTTTCCGTTACCCCCACGTGGGCCCGAGCCGTGCGAATTTTTAGAGCTCGCACTACTGGAACATTGATAAGAGCCCCATATGTAGGGATTAGTAGGGGCACTATTGTTTAGGCAAACCAACACCCTTTCCTTCCTCCGCACCCACCGAGGTACACCTCACCCCCACACTCCATCCACCCCATTCAAGCCCGATGGACACGGTGTGGACCAACCAGGAGTACCCGCCGCGGGGCTACGACTCGCCGATGCCCGACCACCCCACCCCTCAGGCGCTGACACCGCATCCGCCCTCCAGCGACCACCACGCGTCCCATGGCGGCGATATTGAGGTTTCAGGGTATTTGGTATCCGACACCGAGTCCCAGTTCTTGCGCCAGCTCGAGCACAACTTCTACGACGACCAGCTCAACCACCACGCCCCCCATGGCGCCCCGGCGACCCAGGAGGAGTTTTTGTTTATTTCCGACGAGATCATGGGGCTGGCGTCCCGACATCACCATAAGCCGCAAACGGCGTACCCGCCACTGGACCTACCGCTGAATACCCCCGCCTTGTTGGCTAAAAAAGGCCGGGGGATCCCTCAGGCCAATCTTGACGGCGACCAGTTCGCTCTGCCGGTTTTGCCCAGTCAAAACGACCGCAGCTACAACGAGGAACACTTGTACCACAAACAGAAGTACCAGCAGCAGCTGAATGTCGCTGGGATCAGACCCGATGCCGTGTATACTCCCCTAGTGCTGCCGGCAGTGACGCCGTTGGATAAGTACCAGCAAATGAACCAGGCCCAAGGAGGAGTGCCGACCAATTTCGAGCCGTTGACGCTGCCGGCGTTATCGGCGATAAACAGCGATATCCTGGCGTCAGAACGCCGCCGGCTGCTGTCGCTGGCGTTTGGCAACCAGGCCATGGACACCGACCCTCAGTACGCGCTGCAACTGAAACGGAGAACCCCTCATCTGACTCCCATCATGGCACCGACAAAACTGCTGCCGAGCCTCAGAGGCAAGTCGGGGGATATCCCTTACCCTAAACACCCTCAACCGCCCTCAGGAGTCCACCACCAGCCGTCACCTTCGCACCATCAACCCAGCCCCTCTAGCCACCATCTGCCGGCTCTGCAACCTCAGCAGCCGCAGCCGCAACGAAGTAATGGTGGTACTCCCCTCATGGGTTTCACTATGGGCATTTTGGCCGAGCAGGAGCTGATAAAGAACGAGCATAATAGTCCCCAGACGACGATGAAACGACCGTTGAAACTGCGCACGCAGCTGGCACTGTCGCTCAACACTAACAATAACGCCAACGGGTCGACGAATCCGTCTCAGAATAACCGATCGTCGCTGGCACTGTCGCTGGAGACACTGCCGCAAATGCTGGCCGCCCCTTCTAAACGAGGGGAGAAGCCGCCGACGAAAAAGGCGTCGCATAAGCTTGCCGAACAAGGCCGGCGTAACCGGATGAATCAAGCGGTACACGACTTGGGTGAGCTAATCCCCAAACTGTACCATGATCTGGTGACGATCCCGTCCAAGGCGACGACGGTGGAGTTGGCGTCGACGTACATTAAGGACTTGTTGGAACGGATCGAGGAGCTCGAGGCCGTGAAACAAGAGTAAAGCCGAAATACTACTAGGCTCTGTATAATAAGATTTACATTATATATCATTTTTCGCCATGTAAATATAATAATTCCAGTGCATTGACCAAGGTTTCGTAGACTGACCGTCATACAAAAAAGTGATACTTTGGATCAACTAACATAATGAAGAGTCCAGATTCTATTGGCAGGCCAAATTTGTATGTGGTCGTCGGGAAGGTTGGGGTTGATTCACGTGAAATATCACCTGACTAAAGAAGAGCCCACGTACAACGCGTCATAGACAGCCTTCAATAATAGAACTGGACGATGAATTAAAAATAGAGGAAGGTATCTACACGGGGCTTGTTTTGGTTAATGAAAGGAAAAAGCTCAAAAAAAGATGGACGAGTCAGGAATCGAACCAGAGACCTCTTCCTTGCAAGGGAAGCGCGCTACCAACTGCGCTACACGCCCAAAATCAGATTTTCAAAATGGCCGCTTTTTGTTGAAAAGCTAGTTTTAAGAGCAATTTTCGCTTATCTCGGCTTAATTTGGCGTTTTCAAGCTGTAGGTGTTAAATCTGGTAGTCGGAGATTAACGCTGTAGAGGTTTTGGGCCGGTTACCCTTAAAATGATTGACTAATTGAACTTTTTCACTCCACCAAGAAGCTGGCAACATAACTAAACTAAACTCACAAATCGAATTAAAAAGCTCTCTGGTCCATCAAGAGTGGACCACACAAACATTTTGGAAACGAATTGAAGCGGGTATTCCCGTATACCATCAACTAGAGGCGAATTCAAATTCCGTGGTCACCTGAGGGTGGTGCGCGTACATGCGTGAAGCACGACTGATACTACACCGCAGTTGAACCCACCTGAGAACCAACCACACACCACGTGGTATAAAGAGAGAGCACTTTGTTCATGATTCCTTCCATCGAAACAATTGAACAAAGTAAGTGTTGACCAACCCCACGAGCACGAGACTGAGGCAAAGATCGAAAACACTGGTGAAACATGTTTGACTCAATTCTGGCTGGCTTGCCAACCATCATCACCACTCATTGATCCCTAATCAAAGGGTATCGATACCAATCTGATCGATTGTCATTTATTATTAATTGACGTTGAACTCATTCGATTATGGTGTATGTAAATTGGGGAGCGACTGTTGATCACGCAACTGGGACGGAAACTGTTACCTACCACTTGGTTGAGATAACGGAAATACGCGAAAGTTATGATCCAGCCACTCCACTTTCAAACCTCACTTCAACTCTCATCGCTGGAAACATCGAGCAGACGAGCTGAAGAGTGCATAATTTACGGATACTACGATTTCCATTCGAAACCCGCCCTGTCTTTTCATCGATGGAAACATCCAGGAAAAGAGCTAACGGGTGCAACCATGGGTTTACGGACATGTTTCCATGAGCAATTGGTTCCGACCATTTGGTCGTGTTGTCTTATCAATTTGAAAAATTCATAAGACAAGAGCCAACATGTGCTAGGTTTAAGGACAATTTTATTGTTCCTACACCGAACCCCCACCCGAGCCTTCCAGCGATGGAGACATCAGAGAGATGAGCTATTGGGAAATTGGTTTACGGACATATTCACGGTTTCCATGAATACTAAGCTCCGACTACCTGGTTGTGTGACTCTCACCAATGAAGACATTGACGTGATGAGCCAACAGGTTTAACCAAGGGTTAGGGACGTGTTCATGGTTTATCATGAATAACGAGCACCGACCATCTGGTCACAATTACTCATCAATGGAGACATTGAAGAGCTGAACCAACAGGTTCAATTCAAGGGTCATAACCATAATTATGGTATGTATCAACAGTGACAAACCTACAACTAGGTCGTACCACTGGGAAGATTACTTCCAAACTCAACCAAACACTCACTGATCTTCCTCAGGACGAACTAACCATCTAGTGGTATCCATTTCGAAGGCAACCGAACCTAAAGCATTTACTTGTGATTACATTGAGATCATGGAGTTTGTGGAGGACAAAGCAATTAGAGATGTGGCCGCCTACGTGAACCTGTGCCGTGAAGTCACTAAAGGTACTAGTGACTTCCCCATTAAGCTAAGCTCAGAAGACTTTGTTGATGCTATCTCGTGGGTTACCAACAATTTGGCAAAGTATGCTCAGCCCTACATGTTTCTCCTTACTCGAGAATTGGCTAAAGAGGATATCTTGACTACCGTCCAGGATAAACTTTGGGTATTTGATTTCCCCGGCTTCGAGACCGATGCCGAACTCGTCTACTTTTATTTCAAGACGGCTTCAAAAGCTATCAAGAAGGCAAGCGTGCTGATTCTCCACTTGAACAACGATCTTGACGATATGGACCAACTGTTGTGTAAGTGGTGGACGAAGGTGAAGACTGTAGTAGAATTGGATGTCATGGTGCACGCGTTAAAGCTTATTTACCATAGCACTTATGATGACCGCAGAGCCGATGTGTCCATGATGACTCGTTTTAACGGGATCATTGACCACTGGCAACGTGCGCAATGGCAAGTGGACCGCCTCCTTGGGTACCCAGTGGCATCGGAGGCGGAAGTCGTTGTCAACGGAGCTGCTTTTCGTGAGTTCTTCAACATTTGCGCTCAGAATCATTCACGGTACCCTGCTTTCTTTCTTCAAAGAGGTTTCGATATGTTTCTTCTCTGGTGCAGCGAGCGGTACGTTGCCATTTGCGATGGAAAAGTGACGGGAAAGGATAAGAACTTGTACCGTTTCCCCTGTCTTGTCACGTTCAAGGAGTGGTGGGGTGAATGCGGCAGTGAACGCCATGCCTACTTGCAAATTCGCACAGTCTTGGATGGTCCTGAGGCGACGAACTCGAGGTTGTTTGGTCCTCTCAAGCAGAGTCGCTTCAACAAGGTTGGTGATGGCCAACACCCTGCTGTTGCCAACACCACTGAGGTTAACAAACGTCAAGGCAAGTGTCGTAACCGCAGAAGAAACCGCCACTGCAGAAGAAACCGCCACCGCAGAAGAATCCAAAACCGGGAACAAGCCAACAAGGTAGAAGAAATGATCTTTGCGGACATCGAAAAGTTAATCGAGAAGTGCATTTGTGCTGCTATTGGCAGTGGTTGCATCTGAGGACACTCCCACCATATATATGTCATTTAGAAATCTTGAGATATAGGTAGCAGTCACGTCTGAATGCAACAACCCCAATCAACCCTAAGATTAACTCACTACTCCCTTCTTGTCGAATGAATCTCGTCTATTAGTTATTTACAGCGTCCCATCTGCTTATCTCCACTACTTCTTCTTTTTCTTCTCCAAGGCGCCCTGGTGGCCGCCCATCTTCTTCTTATCCTTCTTCGTCGGCTTATAGTACAGCCTCATCTTCATCGGCATCCATCTTTCCGGGTCGGCATCGGTATAGTCACTGGATTTCTGCAACACCTTCTTAGGACCAAACTTGGGAGTCTTCTTCTTCAGTTTCGTCACTTTATTAGTAGTGGTGGTCGCCTTATTAGTAGTGACGGTAGACTTCTTCTTTTGGTCAGGCAATACCTTGTCAAGAGGAGCAGCTAAAAGATCAGCGAGATCGTCAGTGTGCTCAGTAAGCAGGTCCACCGAAGCCAAACCTTCCGTCAGCAGCGCAACCACGGCCTGAACCACTTTATCATGAGGGTAAGCTTCAGCAAGCTTAGAGAACGCCGTCCGCCCGGCATCTTGGATCACGTGGTCTTTAGACTCCGTCAACGCTTGAAGAGCTACTTGTTGCACTGCACTGACGGGGAATTGATCTAATTGACCTTCAATAAACTGGGTGAGCACGTGACCAACCACTTGCCAGCGTTTCTTAAACAGCAGCGCCAGGTTCTGGATATCGTACACTGAGAGTAACACCCCCAAAACCGCAGGCACGAGCGAGTTGGAGGCAATTTGCGCCTGGACCAGTTTCTCAAGCACGGGAAGCAATTGGTCGTAGTTATCTTGTTGCGCCGCCAAGTAGGCTAAAAGCAAAAGCGCCGCCGTTTGTTGGCGCGGCGTCAGCTTATTGGTAGTAGTAACCGATTCAGGGTCAGCGTAGGGTAAAAGACGCCGCCCCGGGGCTCGCGGCTGTTGAGTTAATTGTGACATCAGGGTTTTGGCGGTGGCAAGTAAAGCTAACACGTCTAACGTGATATCGCTCAGGGCGCTGGTTGCCAGCCCCGTCAGCGCCCCGTTGGCGCCGGCGACGTAGCTAAGCACCCGATCCAGCTGCGCCATCGTCTGCCGTTGCAATTGAGTGAGCTTTTGTGAAAGCTTTTGCCCGTTGGCTTGGAAGTTTAAGTCACGTGCCACCAAGTTGGGGTTATCGTAGACAGATTCAGGCGCTACCAGCGCGAGGTTATTTTTGACGATAAACTGGTAGTAGTCGTCGGGCGCCGGCGCTTCCATGTACAGCGACTGCGCCTTATCCAATTCACCCAATTGCTGGTAGATGTAGCCGATAGCGACCAAGATCGGGGTGACGTCGTCGTCGCCGGCGCGGCGACACAAGTCGGCGGCGCGCGCAAGCGTCGCGAGCGCCGGGCGCCGGCGCCGGTGGGCGAGGTCGATGAGGGCGCAGTTGAATAAGTAGTCGTAGTTAGTGGCCAACGCGTCGTCATCAGTGTGAGTGGGTTGGTTCGAATTATGAGCGCTGGCAGCATCGGGAGCGGCGCCAGTAAACAATAACTGCGACTGCACCGCCAACTGGTTCACTTTCAAGTCGGCGGCGGAATCGTATTGGGTGTCACTGGCGGCGATCTGGGTGTAGATGCGCGCGGCTTCGCCGTAGGCGCCGGCGCGGTAGGCGCTCTGGGCGACGATGTGGTCGAACCCGCGGGCGGCGACGGGGTCAGTGGGACGAGTCAACTTGGCAAGGTCGGCGTTACGCCCCAACTTATAGTAAACATAGGCAATCTCGAGGATCAAATCATCGGCAAACTGCGGCGGCAAGTGTTGGCGAATTAATTTGTACGCTTCCTGGTAGCGGTCGAGGTTGATCAAGGCGACGAGACACGCTTTGAACGCCTTCAAGTCGTTGTAGTGCTTGATCGTCAGCAAGTACTCGTGCAGCACCCGGTACACCTTGTCGTAGTCGTCGTCGACGGCGAGCAGCTTGAACGCCTCGCTGATCAGGCTCATGGTGGTCGAGTTCAGTTTTTCGCGCGAGAAATTCGTCAACAAGACCTGGATAAAAACATCGGTGCAGCAATAACTGTAAGTGAGTTTAATCAAGCACATACTGGCTTAAATGATATGGTGGTCGATTGTTGGTTGAATTGATGGGTTGTGGTTTGAATCTGAGCAGTCCGTTGATCTAATTGTTACTTGGTGGGTGCGACTGATGTTGTCAATTGTGACTGTTGAATAGCTGATGGTTCGGATAGCCAGGACTCTTCCTCTGGTTGTCAAATCGATTTCAGTTACCGTTACTGAAATGATGTCATTCAAAGAAGCTTCGGTTATTCCTCAAAACCTTAATCTCGTGGCGCAATAAGCCATCGAAGTTCCAAACCGCGACGGTCACAGAATTCCACCAGTTTATGTCCACAAACTTTGCTACGCAGGCTTCCAAAAACACCTTCGAATGCCTTCGATTGGGTTCCATTGCATTTTGAATCCCAATGTAACGTTTCCCTTCCACAAACGCGCCACCAGGTCACCCCTGGGTCCACAAAACACCTTTTTCGATGACAACGTCAAGCTGTCGCTGACCGCCCTAAAGAGTATCACTCCCCCACACTCGAGCTAAATTACTAATCGATCAAAAGAGAGCTCAGGCGTCGGTGCAGAGCCTAGCAGACGCCAGCAGACGACATGACGCTCTGCACGGTTAACAGGTTGTACCCCATCTCCGTGTGCTGCCTAATCAGTGATTTGACTCGGCTTAAGGCCTAATTAGGGCTACCTACCGGCAAAATTGCTTTTGCTGCGCCAGGGTTGGCACATGGGCCCCAGGGCTTTGCCTGCGTTTGCAGCCACCCTAGAGGCGGACCAATTGCCACGGCACTTAGCCAAAAATACACCCCTTTGGGCATAAAGCTTTTGCCGTGCAGTTATTGGCCGTCAACGTGGGGATAACGCTTGATTTGGCTACTCGTGTCGGTGGCGGGTGGCGGGGTGGCTCAAACTCGTACGTTGATGTCATCGATCGCGCTTTTGTATAATTCGGTCATTTGGTAATCACAGAGGCTGACGGTGACAGTGACACTAAGAGAAGCCTAAAGAAGAGCTGGGAAGTGTATGGTGTGCTTTGAGTGCTACTCTCTGAGCTCACTAATGAGATACACCCTCTAATGTTGTTTCCTTGGTTTCCACCTTCCTACTTGACAGCGCCAAGACGACCCAACGTTCGGTGCGTTATCGATCAGCGTTTGACACCGGCGGATGCTTGCGCTAAGGCGGTGGCCACCTTGGCGATTTGCAGCCGCAAAATGCAAATGCAGCGTCATCTTTGCGCTCGTCGTAGCCTGAAAGGCAGCGCCCGAAGCAATGAGTAAGGCCCTAACAGCCTGTGCCCGATTACGTCACGTCCCGTTCCGCTAATTCTTATCCCGGTCTACGTCTTACATGAATACCTAATTCTGCCATGCTCTGTCAGATGTGCGTGGAGGCGGCCATACTCCGCCTGGTAGCAACGCTGGGTCGCCCCCACACGGTCGGCTTTGCTTCTCAACCGATACCTCTGATTAAGGCTTGTCGACTCGTCTGTGGCATTAGTAAACTGGGGGTATTTCCGCGGTCGCGGATAATGCTGTCATCGGATAAGTGGTCGTACAGCGGATAAGCGGTGCGATTTCCGTGCCTTGACAGAAACCCGTTTTTCCCAGCTTCCTCGACCCAATCGGGTAATAAGCTAGAAAATGTCGTGCCTTATCGAAACTCCCATCTGCCTCTGACGTCATCGCGTAGGAAATGCGAGGAAATACGTATTGCGTGGAAATGTGCTCCCCCCATCGCTTGCGCCCCCACGGCGAATACCACGTAAAACCCGCTCGGCGATCCTCTGCCACCAACACGCCACAAAAAATTATCCCCGATTGATCACCAGCAGCAACACCCCCTACGGAAATAACCTTTGTACTCCGACACCAAAACTCTAATGACTAAAACAATTAAGGCCCATTTGGGGTGGTAAGTTCATCGAGACGGGAAAAGCCCAGTGTCGTCGATGTCGTATTTTACGGGACTCGTCAACGGCGGTGCAGCGTCCCCGTAAACGAGATTTTTCTGGCGGTTTTGTCGGCGGCATCTCGCAGACGACGATTGTGCCGGTCGCAAATACTCGAGGCGGCAAATGGCATTTTCCGCGGAAGCGGTCCTCGCAGCGGTGGCTTGTGTCTATGACTGAGGTTGTCACCAAGAGGAAAGCAACCTGCCACTGAGACCGCGTCAAGCTAGTCATCGAGAGTACAGCAATGTGACACCGAGACCGCGTCAGCGCGTCACCGAAACTACATCGTACCAAAAATAACCTTGTCGCCAAAACCAGAATTAAGAGCTTTGGCGGTGCTCACTCGCTACCGTAAGCCACGATAGTCTATCTGGTGTAATTACGCTGTTATCTGTCCCCGCAGCCGACAATAGGTGTCGTTGACGAAACTTGGCATTGGCCACCGAAACGGTAGGTTCGCGTTTGCATCGATAAGGATTAAGCTTTTCATGTCCCCCACTCTGGCGGACACCTCAGCCACCGGTTCCCCTCACTAGCTTGCTCTACGCGGTGCCCACGTCCCGGGTCGGCTCGAGACTCGGGCCCGCGGGAGCCCCCACCCGCCAATCCTCTGATGCTCTCGGACCGACTTTTTTCGCTGACGACATTGAGGATAAGTGACACCTGCACTGACAGCGAATCACCCCATTCGTCAGGTACGGGCCATGACGTCTATCGCCGGCGTGGCGAGGGGGTAGTTATCCGCCGCCTTCTCCACGTCACCGAGTGTCTCATAGTGTGGCTGATACCCGCAGTGTCTGGCTTTGTCTGGCTATCCATTGACAACAGTAGTCATTCTTGACTTCGTAGTTCTGTGGCAGTTTTTTTTTTCAGGTTGTATGGTGGTCATTCGTGAACCCACATGAAAGTTTGCTGAGGGAATACGAAGTGGCTAGTGAGGTGGCTCAATAAATGTTAGCCTTGGTGGGTGGAGGAGGAATCAGGTTCCACGCACGCGTGTGCCTCAGGAGCAAACGTCGAGCGCGAGTTTTCCCACGCCAACTGAGCCACGTTCGCCCTAATCGGGAATCGATTAGCATCGCGTTAGGTGGCTTAAACGCTTTGACATGCCTCGAGATCTACAGCGCTAACATAGCTACAATGGACTGGTAAAATTAATCTATGTTATATTGTGGTATAATTATGACGTATAATATGTAAATGAAGCAACCAAGTCGACAGGCTCTCGGCGATGAAGGGGGGCCCCACCTCTAATAACCAGCTTAAAGTGGAGATATGAAACAGCATTCAAAGACCCTTCCGCTTGCGATGGAGCTCGTTGAGCATCCCCATCCGCTCGTACTCAAACGCCATCGACGCCTTCTTGTCGTTGGTGACGACGACACAGTCCTTGGGCAATAGTTGGAACATTGGTAGTTATTTGGTGGTTTGTGAGTTTCAGTGTGTGGCTGATGAGTAAACTCGTGGGACGTTCATCGTCTTTATATCTCTGGATCGGCTTGCTTCCCATCACCACAACTACAGATCCGCCGAGTGGGGGCGAATCCGCCTCTGAAGCTGGGTTAGGTGGCCCTGGCCCATGCGCACCATGCGACACCTGGTTTCGTACATAAAGATAGGAGGAAAAAAAAATGCAACAGCAAACGGGGGATCTTTGCTGGCGACATTGGGCCCAGGGTGGGGGGTGACATTTTGGGGGCTGACGAACCTCTATTTCCCCCACTAAGACAAATCCGCCAGAGATCCGCAAAGCAGCATTGCCAACACCACGGATATGCTCGACGAGCACCTAAAATACTGCCGCTTTGGTCCCGAGTCTCAGATCGCCTGATAGTCTTTCGGAACCAACGGAACTCGGCCTGAGCTATCCGAAATTAGTTTTAAGGAGCAGCTGTCAGCGAGAGAGCCACTCAGTCCAGCGGTTAATTACTAGAAGTAATGTTAGAGTAGCAGAAGCGAGGATGGGGGCACAGGCGATGGCTGGGGGACAGCAAACACATCCGCCTGGCGGGGGGCTTATGACGAATGCAACGCTAGCGAGATGCAATACAACCCATTCTTTCGCGACCAAAGTAAGCTTATGACTGCATTCGATGCCGACAGTAACCGCACTCGAAGGGCTGATTACGGTGAAATGAGGGGCTGGATTGAGATGCCATCTGGGTCCAGACAATCTCGTAGATCGACAGTCTGTCTGTCAGGGTGACAGGCCGTCTCCCTTGACCAGGCTTTGGCTCTACACTGGAATGCGATAGACAACTTTATTAACGACTATATAAAAACAGGATCAATTGTAGTAAAAGCAAACATAGGTGGATAAGAGGCAATGAAGCCGTCGTCCGAATAACCGAAACAGTGAATCTTTGACCAAGACTGGAGAGCAAATTGGGAGGGAATTGGGTGGCTATTTATCTTGTTTTCCCCAGGCAGCCCCCGCCGCTGCAAAAATCTGCATTACGCCTCAGCGGGCCTATCGGCGACTGGCGGAAATAGTGCTTCAACGGCTTCAAGGACGTAGCGAATTTTAAAATGTGCACGTCAAGGTTAATCAAGCAGCTGCGCATGTCACAATTATTTTTTTTCTCTCCAGAAAGCGGAGCAAAAAAATATTCGTGACCGTGAAAACGAGGAGAGCCCACCCGACGACCACCACCAGCCACCAAACTGTGAAACTAAGGCCACCATCTCTGATATTTGGTAGGCTATCGAGATAGGACGATAGTGCCTATCTCCTTCGACATCGGGTGGGTCGGAAGCCGGGGGTCTCTGCACAGTCACGGAGCCCATGGTCCAGGACCCACCGCCACAGGTCCAGAAAAAAATACGTCACTGTGTTCACAATGATAGCGGATATGTCTTTTGAGCGACTTCTACACAGAACCCAGTTTTCCGGGGCGAGTCACGCAGGAAGTCTCCCCCACTAGCATTTCCGCAGACATTGTCGCGCTACCAGGCGATGGGCGATACCCGAGATTTGGGTTCTATCATTTCGTGGTGGTGGTGGTTGATCGATTTAGTCGTCGTTAATGCCTCGAGCGATTTAGGCATAACCTTCCCGAGCCGAGAGAAGCACGTCCCTAGGCATTATACACTACCACGGAACTCCGGAGGCTAGAGGTGGACACCGCCCCAGCAATAGTCCCAAAGAAAGAAAAAAGACGGACCAATTAGCTTTTCTCCAACAACGATAGCAAGACCAATTTACTAAGATGCAAGCGTAGCACGCACCTCTTTTTTCCCTTAATCCAGTTATGAATATTTTTGTCTGGCGATTTGTGCAACCAGTGCAACGCACGGGGTTTCGCCGATTTTGTGGCACCGGATGCACCGAGCGAGGCGCTGAAACGAACACAAATGTGGTTCAGTGGTGCCCAAAAGCTACAGCGAACGATGCTTAGAGCAGCACCCCTCATGACGTCCGCTTCCAAGCCTGAGGGGGTTAGTTTTCACCAAAACAAACTTGTCATCGGGTGTCTCATATGTGATGGGGGTGTACACGTAACCGTCGTAAACATGCCACCTTGCGCGTAAGCTATACGATACGATTTCTCTGTTGAGGAGAAAGGATCCGGGAGTCCGTCCTAAATATCCAGAGGCAGAAACGCCTTCAACAAAAAAAAAAAAAAATATACGTAATTGGGGTTATGAAAGAATCTCCCCCCTCCTCTACCACACTGTGACATGACCTAAATCATTGCGGCGATGTCGCTGGACATTGCCTGCCCTGTTTTTTTTTTTTGTGGCGGGCGTATTTGTGGTCGGTAATGAAATAATGGTGCACTTCCGCCTTTGATCTTAGTAATCTGTTCCTTTACTAAAAGTAAATAGGCCCTAGCACAGCTTCCGCAAAATCGGCGATGTAACCTCGGCGGATTTCCTCCAGCATTGCTGTCACGAAATCCGATTTACCGAATTGCAAATGGTGATCCAATGATAATTCGGCTTCGTAATTGAAAAAATCTTGCTGCACTGATGTTTCTCGCAAGGCTGTGGCCGATCCTACACTTTAAAGATCGGCGCCATCTGAAAAGTGTCTCGGGCGAGATCCTATAAGCCAATCGTTAATTCCCACCAAACCTAAACCAATTGTAATTTGCTAAACATCTGCGTCAGGCTTTTGGTTGTGACTGGAAGTCCCTCACCAACCACATTGTGCCCCCAAGCCAATTGGCCTGAGACACGTAATCAAATAATTGGTAATCGGGCTTGTAGAAAAACTAAGCCGCGATGGTCTCGGTCAAATGTCCTTCTAATTTTTTCAGTATGGCCACCTCAAAATCAGCAAACAAGCCTCGTAGTAATTGGTCTGAAGCAGTCCTTTGTGGTGAAGACTTGGCATTCTCGACCCGCTACTCCCCTTCAGGTTACACCAGGCAATTTTCCAACAAAGGGGCTAGAGAGTTTCCACGGCGTACTCGGGGCCCATACTGCGAATTACGGTATCGAGGCATTCGCCACAATTTCCGAGGTCGACCTTATTTTTCCGTAGGGTTCCTAGAGAATCCAGTAATCGCCAATTGCTTGTGTTGGCATTGAAGTGTGGGAGCCGCAGATCAATTAAGGAAACGATGCCAAGAGGTACTCAAATTGGTCTGATTGGTTCATTTCCCAGCATGTCAATTCCTTTTTAAGGTATCTTTTCGATATTTCCAACATAATTGACTTTGGTAGTTAAGAAAGTGTCTGCTCCAATGATTGCGTGGCCATTCATCAGCACCCACTCAAATACAAGATTCCCAGCGAAAAACTTTCAGAATGATCTCTATAATTGACAGGTCATCCCTCCCTTAGAAGAGAGAACCAAAAGTTCAGTTGTCGTATGACATTATTCCACCATATTTCACACGATTTCACTCTTTACCTTAAGCTTGAAAAGTCATACAAAAAACCATCAAACATCAAAAAATGAAACCTTTTCAGAAAGCAAAACCATTTTAGTCACTCTTTAACAGCAATCATCGTTTCATATTTCCATTCCACCACTCCCATCAAAGCTAAAAGTAATATCCGGAGAGGACGTCTTTTGTCTCATCGGTCGCACTCTCGTTACCCGTACCACCCCATGCTTAGTCGCCAAATCAGAGGGATCGCCACCCGCCAGGCGCTCCGCCAGGCGCTGGCCAAGACGCCCGAGGCGCCCGCCGAGTTGGCCCAGGAGTCCCATTTGCCCAAACACCCGCAACAGTTCAAAAAGCCCCCCAGACAGCCCAAAAAGCAGACGCCGTTAAGACCCCACGAGTTGGAAGACCCCAACTACAAGATGAGCGGATGGAAACAAAAATTGGGTCAGGGGATCATCAAAGTGTTTGGCATCGACATGGACCGGCTGCGGGCAGGGCCGGTGGCGGGTTCGTGGTATTTTGGCGAGTGCAAGAAGCAGGCGCTCGTGTACCCGGACGAGCCGATGCTGGAGACGGCCAAGTTCTACTACGAGACGTTGGGCCTCCCCAAGTCGTTCAGTCAGTGGTTTCAGATCACAGCGTTGCACTACTGGATTTTGTCGGTGAGAATGAGAGCGATGCCCGCTAAGTACGGCAAGAACTACCAGCAGAAGCTTGTCGACCGTATCTTCAAGGATATGGAGTTGAGAATGTCTGAGGAGCTCAAGATCAACTCCGGCCGCATCATCGAAAACTACCAGAAGGACTACCACGCCCAGTTGTTGGGGCTGGTGATGCTGTATGACGAAGGGCTTGCTACTGACGACATCACGTTGGCGCAAGCGTTGTGGCGTAACATTTTCAATGGTGACCCTAACATCGACATGCGCCACTTAGAAGCTTTGGTGGGTTACGTCAGAGCCCAGCTTTACGTACTTTCGAAGATGTCGGACCGTGAGTTTGGTTTCGGTAAGTTTTCGTTTGTCCCGCCCAATGAGGTGGTGGTGCCGTTAACTCAGGCCCAGGAACTGGAGTTGAGAGCCAAGGCGAAGGAAGAATTCGCCAAGATGACGTTGCCGTCGCAGAAATCGGTGTTGTCGTTGGACGAATAGTGTATATAGAATTCAAATGTTATCAAATGAAATATGAAGAAATTTGGCAGATAGGATAGACAGTAAGAGAAGTAGATTCTCGTGCTTAAGGCGATAGTCCCACTGTTACCAATCGTGTGGCCAGCACATCATACAGAGCTCGTCATATCCAGCACATTATATAGAGTACATTTTCACCGTCTACAGAATCATGTCTGAACTGTGAACCTAATGTAGTTCTTTCATCCATAACTGTCGTCGCATTATTGTACACTATGTTTTCTTTCTCGTCGTCTTCTTTCTCGTCTTCAGCACCGGCTTGTCGCCGCCTTCGTAAAGCGATTTACCGTATTTGTCGACGGCGGCGGAGTTGACCCACTCCATCACTCGCGCCACTTCGCGGTCCTCGTCTAAGCGTTCCTGTAAGAAGGACTTGGCCTGTTCGAGTTCGTCAGAGCGCTTATTTTTGATGGCGGCTTCAATGTCGATTTCGTCGCCATCTTCATCGTCATCGTCGTCTTCGTCACTGTTGGCATCGTGATCTTCGTAACTGTCGTCATCCACATCAATGGGGTCATCCTTAGCTTGTCGACGAGACTGGCGACGGGTCACAGTGACGTCATCGTCTTCTTCATTGTTATCGTCGTCATCGTCAATGACGTGTACGGTATTTTTAATCTCATTAAGTGTTTCTTCCACCCGACGCAATTGTTCGGAGAACTTATCGTAAGGGCCAGCGAGAGCCAATTTGCGGGCCGTCATCGCCGCCCGAAGTTGTTCCGCTATCAGCGCCAACTCGCGCTTCAACTGGTGTTCGCGGTACCCCAAACTATTAAGCCATTTGAGGAGTCTGGTAATGTCTTCTGGATCGTCGTAATACTCCCACAGGTTACCATCAACAAGATCATCGGTGTTGCCTTCGCCCTTAACGGAGGCTAACACGCCACCATACTTCTCCAAATCACCCTGGCTGGGTCCCTGAACCCAAAGAGTACCCATAAGGTAAGTCTCCTCTAAGAACTCGTCGTCGTGGCCGACATCGTCTTTATCTTCAGGATCGTCCTGGTCAGCAGTGGCAGCACTGTTTTCAAACCACCAGTAGCGGTTATAGAAGCGGTCTTTACCTAAGATTTCTGCCCGCTGACAATCTAGCTCCATGATCCGCTTTTCAAGTGAGTGTTTGGTAGCTCGAAGTTGTTTAACTTTGGCGAACATCTCTTGTCTCTGTTTTAAAAGCCCAGCAAATTCCTTATCGGTTTTCGCTAATTCTTCCTCGGCTTCGAGGATATCAGTGGATAAGTGGCTAAACTTGTCAGGGCGAGGTACTTTGGCCACAAGCTGGTCCCACACTTTGCTGGCTTCCTCTAAAAGAGCTTTAGTCTCCTTAGTAACGTCAATACGTTGACGACGGAGTAGAGTACCTTCTTCCGAGCAAAACTCAAGCCGGGCTCTCACCACTTGACCGGTACAAAGAAGGTCAATAAAAATGGCCAAGATCTTCACTCTGAGGCCGGGGTCGACGTCACGGTACCACCGTTCAAGTACGCGACTGGGAGTGGGAGTCCCTTCCAGCTTAGGTGCTAGTTTATGGAACACTTCAAGGCACACGTCGGCATACTGAGGCAAGTCTTTAACTTCGGAAAGCACGCCGATGACGCCACACTGCCACTGGCCGTCGCGGAACAGCCGCTTGTGGATCTTATCGTACCATTGTCCCTTGCTGTTCATCGCTCTAAAGGCATAGTGGTCCACATCGTCGTTGTCGTCGTCAGTAGCTTCAGGAGCGGGGGTAGGTGTAGGCGAAGGAGATGAAGGAGTCACGCGGAGATTTTTACGCGGGCTATTCTTAGGCGGACGTCCTCTTTTACGGCCAGTGCGTGTCGTCACTTCGACGTCTTCCTCGTCTTCTTCTTCCTCTTCTTCGACTTCACTGGAAGCGGCAATGTCCACCACTTCCCGCTGGATCTCCACGTCGTCATCGTCATCGTTATCGTCGTGTACGGTTCCATTAGCTTTTTTGGTAGTTTTCGTTCCATTAGCCTTGCCGTTGCCGTTGGCTTCAGGTTCATTGTCTTCGCCGTTATCTTCTTCGTCGTTATCTTCATCCATATTTTCGTCGTTGTCATCATCGTTTTCAATCTCGGGGATGGTCACTAGAAGACCTTTATTCTTACGGTCTTCGTTGGAGATGATTGCCCCTAGCAACGCACAAAACAATTCGTCTAGTAACACACAATTGCCAAACTCCTTAAACTGGGGTAAACTCCACCTTAAAGCTATGACAAAGTCGTCAAATGTAATTGCATCCAAGTGTAGTGCCAGGTGGAAGATATTGATAAACAGCCAAATCCGCAACGTCTCGGAGAGATCGATATTCCCCACTTGGAACCGTTTACCGCGAGGGCGCGGTTCCGCCATGGGATCGAGCACGGTGTCTTCCTGCAACACCAAATCCGCTGGTCGGGGCAGTTTGCGGGCCAAGGGAGCCGTGGCCACTTGTTCCATCGGGTCCTTCTTCTTATGCAGTTTCTTCTTTGCCACTGGTTCCTCGGCGTGGTCTTCGGCGTATTGGAGTAAATCTTCAGGGTACGTCTGAGGAATGCGGTATTTCTTAGCGTAGTAGTCCTTAACCACCCACGGAGCTCCCACGCGAGAAGAACGCGATACGGTAAGCTTGATAAACGTCTTAATAAGCCATTTGGTAAACTGGTTCCGTTCTCGCAGAATATTTTCGGCGGTGACTTGTGTGGGGACATTATCCTGTAACCGTCTCACTAGATAGCGAGTTACCGGTACGTCGCCGCCAATCTGGACCTTTTCCAGTACCACGGCCCGGCGTTTAGCGTCCAGAGCCGCCAGCCCTTTCACCTTCAAATAGACGAGTTCCCCCGGGAAATAGTCGTGTTTGAACTCCAGGTACACTTTATCAATCAACAAATCAAGCCTAGTAATCCGATTAAACTGGAGAAAGCGCAAAATGTGTTCGCGGAGGGCATCGGGGAAGTTGCGCTCTAGAGCCTCGATCTCGCGGGTTTCCAGCTCCATCGCCTCAAAATAGGTAAGCTGGGAGTTGCCGGTGATCTCACACACAAACTGGCGCTTGCGGTAGAAGTCGAGCCGCTCCAAGTAGCCGTCGTAGGTGGTGAACCATTCCTTGGTGTGCGGGATAAGCCAGACGTCGGTGGTGTCATCTTGGGGGAGCGGCTTGGTCACGTACTCGATCGGCTTGCGTTTGAATAACACCATCCCGACCCGTACCGAATAGTCAGGATGGAAACTGAAACAAAGGAAAGGGTTTTCTGGTCGTGGGAGGTACGGTGCGATATCAGCCCTCGACGCGCGTACCGTCAACAGTGATGGGACCCGTGCACGGAAACGAAATCAAAAAAAAAAAAAAAATAAGGGAATTAGAAGTAATAACATTTAAGGTAAAACAGGGAAAGCTCTCAAATTGTTGGTGTTGGTTGTAGTTGTGGGTGGCTTGATTTTGAAGAGAATAATTTACAGATTGGTAGTCTTTGGACTTTAGAGAAAACGTGGGGCAGCAGACCAAAAGTCTGGAAAAGATGGAGACGAAAGGTGAAGTTTGAAATTGAAACTGCTTTGATTGAATTCAGACAGAGTGAAGTTTCAGTTTTCGAGGACTCATCAATGGTATAAGTGATATAGATACTATTGAATTGCTACTCATGGTGGGATGACATCTATGGTGGGATGACATCTATATCATGGACAATAACTTCTCATGAACGTATGGAAAACCGGTAGAGGTCACTCGTAGAATCATAGAGAATGTTTATGAATATTCAAAATTCTCCTGTGACAGTGGTCATCCCGTCACATCAATTTCTCATTGGATTTGTCTCAAACAACGTATACTCTCACTAACACCGTACGGACACATAGTAATTACAAAACACCCCTCAAAACACTCATAGGTACTTCTTATAGTCGGCCTCAATCGAATCGTCCAAGAGCTTAAGGTTAAGCCATTTGGCTAGGCGGTAGCTGATCCCCATATGGGCAAACCACGTGAGGGGACCGTACACCAAGTTGTTGATCAACAGCCCGTACGGCTGGTAGTACATCACTTTCAACGACCACCACCCGTGCCACGCCCAGAGGGCAAACATCACCACCGTCACCACCGTGAGCACCAGCGCTTTGGCGAACCGCAGCTTGGAGATGGTCTCGTGCTGGGATCGGGTCACGTTATACTTGTTTGACATATGAAACAAATCAATTCAAACCTGTGGAGGTCGGGTATTCGTTAGGGAAAGCCAGAGCAGGGCTAGTTGCTCAGGGGACGGTGGGTAAGGTCACGTGAGGTGGAAAGTCCCATGGCCCCTCCCCCCGTGTGTGCGTGCGTCGCTCCTCCCTCCCAGGGCACGCGCTACGAAAAAAACAGTGACCATTTCGTCTCACACTCTCTCGTCTAACAGCCGAAATTTACGGTTGATCGTGATCTGATGACAGACGTTTCAGATAAAAAATAAAAACACGGTTTCAGAATTTTTACTATAGGTAAAAGAATATTTTCGAATGAATTAGAATTTTCTCCTACTCATCACTTAGGTTCACCTTCAGAATATATATCGCGTGCCGTCTCTACCCCGAATCACAAGCCGCACGGTTATTCGCATCCGCTCCCACACCCTATATACAACTCACCATGTTTGATACCCGGCCCCTCAACGTCGCTCCCCGAGAGTATGTGGGGGGTGTGCCCGTGTTCTACCCCACCGAGGCAGAGTTTGCCGACTTCTACCGATATAACAAGGCCATCCACCCCTACGGAATGCGTCTGGGGATCGTCAAGATCGTGCCCCCAACCACCTGGCTCAAACGCGTCCAGCAGTTGTACACGCAACAGAACCTTGACGGCATTGTTATCCGCAACCCGATTGTCCAACATATCAATGGTTACGGCCAAGGGGTATACCACCAGCAAAATATGGAAAAGGGGCGCAAATACTCGATCTGGCAGTGGAAATCTCTGAGTAATAACCTCAATTTCCAACCACCAAAGACCAAATTGAAGGAGAATAAACCTCATATTTCTGAACCTCAACGCATTGCCACTGCCAAGGCTAAACTACCGCTCCCACGTGACCAATTCACCATCGACGCCCTGGAATACTCTCAAGAACGGTGTCAGGAGCTTGAGAAGATTTACTGGCGGTCGCTTACATACGCGGAACCAATGTACGGGGCTGATACTCTTGGTCTGCTTTTCCCCGATGAGTTTGGTCCTTGGAACGTCGCCCATTTACCTAATATTTTGGACTTATTGGACCGTCGATTACCAGGGGTAAACGACGCCTACTTGTACGCTGGTCTTTGGAAAGCGACGTTTGCCTGGCACTTGGAAGACCAGGACCTTTATCTGATTAACTATATCCATTTCGGTGCCCCTAAACAGTGGTATCTGATCCCCCAGTCTCAGGAAAAGGCATTTTTTGACGTGATGAAACTGGAGTACCTGGATGATTATAATAGTTGTCTGGAGTTCTTACGCCATAAAGAGTATATGGTACTGCCGGAATTCTTGAAACGTAAAGGGATTGAAGTGAATCGTATTGTCCATCGTGAAGGAGAGTTTATCATTACCTTCCCCTACGGTTACCATGCCGGTTTCAACTACGGTTATAACCTAGCCGAATCAGTTAACTTTGCCCTTGACGACTGGTTCCCTTTTGGTAAAGTGACGAAGAAGTGTGAGTGTACCGCGGACGCTGTGGAAGTCAATGCCCATCAATTATACTGTAAGTTTATGGGTATCCCCTACGAGTACCATACCCCACCGATGCTGGATGATGAAACTGAAACTGAACGCAAGCCACAACCAGTGAGACGGATGGTTAAGCGGAAACTGCCAGAGACCACCAAACAGCCACTGACACCGTCTCAACAAGCTCAAACTCAAACCCCTAAACGACCAAAAGTGACCGTTACTGAGTGTACGCTTTGTCCATTCACTATTGAAAACACGCCCTTGGCCACAGACTCTCTCTTTGAGCTTTTACCGCTGACTACTACCAAGATGTGTCACCGTATCTGTGCCCAAATGTTCCCAAAGGAATTGACCATCGCTGATGGAAAAGTCCAAGGGCTTGAGCAAATTCTGAGGGCACAAAGAAAACTCAATTGTACCGTGTGTCGCCAACCCGGCCCCTGTTTCCAATGTGCTCACCCTAAGTGTACTCGAAGCTACCATGCCGCCTGTGGTTTAAATGACTGGGTAAAATTCGCTCAGGATAAAGGCGAAGCGTTGTGCAAGTACCACCGTGACCGCAACCCAGTTTCAGGTATAACCGGTGACGGGTGGGTCCAGTTCCTGTTTGGTAAGACTCATCACGTGGCTAAACTTATTGAGTGTCGTCGGCCTGAAAATCGAGTGGTGGTGAAACTTTTCCCTCAATTGAAAGAGACAATGGAGATTGACCAGGACCAAATAACCGGTTTTATCCCCAGTAAAGTGGTAGAGGAAAACGAAGCGGCCATCGCTTATTGGAAAAAGCATCATCACCAACAAACGTTGGTATCTCCTCCAACTCCACTTGAGGTGAAAATTGAAGTGAAACCATTTACTAAACCCGTGAAACCGAAACCGAAGCCGCAACTGCAAAAACCGGCCAACAAGACCACCACCACTCCAGCTCGTGGTCGTGGTCGGCCTCGGAAATATCCTAAGCCTAAAGAGATGGAGCCCGTGGTCCCTGGTTCAGTCTACGAGATTGAAGACCCGTCGGAGTTTTATCTGATTGAAGTTAACTCGAAACCATTCGTGTTACCTCGGGAATTGACGTTTATCCTTGATAATCATAGTGCCGCAGTGGTGCCTAAACCCCCTCGAGACCCAACTCCTTCAGTATTTCATAACTACCAACCGCAAACGATGCCACCACCTCAATTTCCACAGACATTACCGCCTCAAATGCCACCTCAAATGCCGCCTCAAATGCCACCTCAAATGCCACCTCAACCCATGCCATCGATGCCCCAAGCAATGCCATCTCAACCGATGCCCCAGGCAATGCCCCAGGCAATGGCACAATCAGTGCCCCAATCGATGCCCCAGTCGATGCCGCCGTCGCTTCGGGGGCTCCCTCAGTTGCTTCCCCGGGCGACAGTGCCTCCTCCAGGCTCGTTTGACCTGTACGTAGGCGTATTCAGCCTCACCTAGCGTAAAAGTAAGTAAGTAATGACGATATGACGATTTCACAAGCTTTCTCAAGTAGTATGGGCTTCTCTTGATTCATGGTACACTGAGGAGTTGTTGCTGACGATAAACACTGCCACCAAGTGACGGCACGTTGGCATCGACTTGAATATTTTAGTTTGTCCCCAGGGTGTACTGACTGGGTACGGATTATCGCTTGTCTTTATTTGTTGGTGCCAGTGAGGACACAGACAGTACCACTGGGCCAAATCGACGTAGTAACGGTTCAAAACTCGTGGGAGTGGTTTCAACTCAGTGTCACCTTTAGTGGCAAAGCCATCAGTTATGGTGATTCCATAGTGGAGAGCAAGAAACGCGTCCACATCGACATTAGCTTTGGCCGTAGAATAGGCTATTGATACCGTATAAAGCTGGTTTTTCACAAGGGAAACAGACACGTCTTCATCCACAATTAATGCTAGTGCTTCTGGGTATACACTGCCGAATGCTAGCGTTATGGGGAACAGTTTGTCAGGGTCAATCGTAATCACTTGGCGAGGTTCAATCAACTCGAGGATACTGGTACGCGTATGGAGCGGGTACTGGTTCAAATAGCTTGTGATATCTTCATCCTCAAGTCTTAGTAGTTCTTGACACCATTCTCGGGCCTGGTCCAAGTCAATGGGGGCCGTAGTCGTCACTGAATTGGTAGCCATAGTGGCAAGACGCGTTTCCCCACACTAATGCGACGTTACATAAAAGTACGAGAACGAGAAGAAAATTAATGGTGATCGTTATCATTCATTACGGCGTACATACATTATTCACATTACTTCAACGACTCTTCTTTTCCACATCAAATTAGTCCAACGAGTACATGGTGTCGATGGCTGATTCGTGGTCCGGCGATTTGGGCGACGGCGCCTGGGGACCTTGAGTGGTGGTGGGCTTAGTCTTGGTCAGCGGCACCGCCAGCGATTGCGGGGCCGAGGGGAATAACGAGAACGGCTTCATTGATTCGATGGTTTGGATGATGTGGTAGGTGATATGGTTTTCAAGTTCGAGAGGGTAGTATTGGTTATATAGGCAGCGCCGTTTCTTTTCCCTTCCCCTCTCCTGAGCGGAGGCAAGTGGACGAGGGGTGGCCCCACCTCGCCTCCGTGTTTTTCCGATCGACCCAGAGGCAATAATGGTTAGAGAATAGGTATTTTTGGATTAATTCTGGTCGGTTTAGGACCAGGATTCCCTCATTATATGTATTCCTTTGGTTGTACTTCGTCGTAGTTGAGAGCGAGTCGAGGGGCGACAAAAGACGGGGTGGAGCCACCACCGGCACCACCACGATAAAATTCCGCACGGCGATGGGTGACAACGCCTGCTTAAGTAATCGCCACCATCGGGAGTAGCCACTAGCGACCCCGATCCGAAGACTCGAGGCTACTTAGTTTAATAGGGGAAAGTAAGTTAGAGTGATGGAGGCTATGGCTTGAGCCTGCCTCAGTGGCTATAATGATGGCTGGACAGTGCTACCCTGATCTCGTCAAATCGATTGAAGCTAACGACAACTCCTGAGCAGGTATAGATTCCACCAGGTCGAGAACAACGGTGCAAATAGCTCGATGAAGGCAGGGGCAAAATTTCACAATTATTTCACCCGCTGGGAAAGTGACTTAATCTGACAACTATAGTAGATATCCTGAGTCTGGATTTATTGACTTTTTTCTACTGTATTACAAGTTTTCAAAGCTGAGAGTATGAGTGGATTTATGATGGCTCAGAGGACACTCAAACAGTCTAAAGAGATAAAACATAACAGCTTAACAAATAAAAACACTTGGTTTACCTTGATATCATACCATCAAAGCCACAATTTGAAAAACTAATCACCTATGAAATTCACACGAAAGAAATCAATTCAATGAAAAACTAATGGTAAACAAAATGCCAAAATTATTCGTCCTCAACAGATCCCTCCACAACCCCGCCCTTCTCTGTCTACCTGTGGCTGTCGTGGTCGCGTGTTTGCTCAACTTTTCACCCACCGCGTCGCTCCCATCTCAGCCGCCAACCCCGTCTACTATTGCCCGTCCGCCTGAGGTTTTTGGCGTTTGATCTTGACTGATACTCCGTCGCTCTCCTCATATTATTCACTCGCTGAATTGTTTTGTTTTTCACTTTGATCGTCCCTGTCTTTGTTGATGGCTCCGGTTGCCAAGTACACTGAGGCCCACCCGGCGAACCAGCTCACGGTGGGGCTGCCCGAGTTGGTGGCGGCGCTCATAAGAGCCCACCCCATCACCCTACCCAACCACGGCCTGCTCCAGACGGACGAACTTGTGAAGTTACGGGTGCTGGAGCCCTACATGTACGTGGTGTCGTGGCTCTACCAGTGTCGTGGTTTCGTCAAGTTGGCCGACGAGTACTTTGACGTCGATATCTTCGAGTTGGAATTGCTTAACCACTTCCCCCTGACCCTGTTTTTGATGGTTACCGATGACTACGACGCGTCGCTGCTGAATAACTTGTTTATCACCAAATTGAAAGTGGCACTCATGCTGCTGCTCCAAAACCAGAAACTCTCGCTGATCGCCAACTTTGAGCGTATCTATAGAGTATGGTTTGGTGTAAACACTCCGTTAAAAGGTACGGAAGCTGAAGATGACGACGGCAATGTGGTCCCCATCGACGACCCGCAAAATGAAGTGCGCTTCGACGAATTGCTGATCACCGACAAATTCCAGGTGCTTTATACGTTAATCACTACCATTAGCGACAACTACAACTTCCGACGGTGGGTGGAGCTGCTGAACTTGCTGCTGGAACAGCTCCGCCCCGAAACGGTGCTCACCGAGGTCGACGGGATTACGTCAACCAGCCTCCAATTATTTTATGACGACACTTATATTTATGAGCGGACGGTGGAATACCCCAAGCTCAACGAACCCAAGAAGCGACAACACGCCCCCAGGTTCCCCGATCTCCATTACCGGGCCGACCAGTTTGATGTGGCTCCCCCTAAATACAAATTGGTGGTGGCCAATGTCTACGAACTCGAGTTGATGATTAAACAGTTACGTCAGCGAGACTCGCACGACAGCGAGCGAGTCGCCGATTTATTGGAGCTGGCGGAATTTGTCGATAACGTGCTTGAATGTGAGATCCAAAAGCGCAAGTTTATCGCGCAAAAGAAGAAGGAGTTGGAGCTTGCGGGGATGATTGCCCTGAGAAAACGGCTGCTGCGGCTCGAAGCTAAGCAGAAACGGGAAGCCGAGGAGGCGCGGTTAAAACAAATGGAACAAGCCGAGCTCCGGTTGGGAGCCCAGCAGCGGATCGAGCGCCGCCGACAGCAACGGGCTAAGCAACTATATCAAGAACAGTTCGCCCGCGACGCTCGCACCCGGTCCTCTCGCCACCACCAGCTGCCCATGAACGAACCCATCAAAGACACCACCCTGCACCTCGAGGTGTCGCCGCTGCCGGTGCCCGAACAGCCCCACTTGCGCGACAAGCTTGGAGCCGCCACCGGCTCTGCCCCCGCCCCCGCCGGCG